TGTATCAAATTTATAAAATATATATTTTATGATATTATTTTTATTATATATAGAGAGAGTAAGAAGAGAAAGTAAGAAAAAGTGAAATGTACATAAAATGTACATTTGTAAAAGTGTATGCTTTTCAGGGGGTCTAAGATTATTACAATTATTTTTATTACAATTAAAAAGTGTTATTATTGAATGCTTATGCTACTGTTCAATGGATAGAACCTAACGAACTTCGAAACACTTATTTAATATGAATATAAAATAATACGAATGAAATCACGAAATAGGAGCGTGTACCTATCATGGAGCACCGTTTCCGTACTACGTCCCCGTGTTTCATAAATGTTCTTCCTTAAAACGCCTGTATTCGAATGAACATTTTTTTACAGCCGATTGTTACAAAACAATTATTTCTGTCAATGGACATATAAAGGAGAATGTTCAAAAGCACGGGTAGAATTTTTACATCGACATTCGTATGTTCTATCTATTTTTTATTGTATTACTTGTGCTACTGTTTCAAGATCGAGTCACAATTGCGCGGTGTTTCAAAATAGGTACCGATACGTAACAGCACGCAGCGAGTGTAAAATTTGCGATAACCAGAGAAAGAATCCGGGATAAAAATGGCAGAAATGCGATCGTCGACGCGAGTTCTTGAGAATATGGGGCGAGGATTACGGGACCGAGAAACGGGATTGCGAGCGTGACAAAGACTATCGGTGCGCGGTAGTTCGATGGCGGTCGAGAGGCATTACGATAATCTTCTCGCGTAGAGAGAGAGAGGGAGGGAGAGAGAACGAGAGAAAGTAGAGAGAAGTCGCGAAGAATGCCGGCAGCAAATATCGCGAGCGATTTCCGCGGTCGGAGCTCAAGCGGATCGGGCTCGAGGACGCTCGAGCGTGGAAGCCAGTCGTCGCGTCGGTTCTTTCGGATGCGCGGCCTGCATCGGGCTGGTGTAATGCGGCGCGTGGAACTTCGGGTTAAACAAGAAACGAGCGTCGCGACGCGACGAGACGCGTCGAGACGAGGCGAGACGAGGCGAGACGGGATTATTGGAAACGTCGCGAGCGGAACGCGTGTTCGCGACTCGTTAAAAGTTCCCGAGGATCGTTTCTGGCCCGGATCGAGAGAGCGTCGAGAGAAGTTTCGAGCGGAATCCCTCGTGACGATTAAACCCCTGTTAGAGGATTAACGCGTGGTTGTGATCGATCCCCCGCCACCCGTCGACCCTTTTTTCCCCCAGCAACTGGATTGATCTTAATTGATTTCCCTTGTCGTCCAGATTCAGGCCGTCGCGTCGCAGCTTTTTCCACCGATGGAATCTCCCCGGAATTTGTAATCTCTAATTTCCGATCGCGGAATCGCCAAACACTTCTAATTGCGCCGGGCCGAAGGAACTGCGCCAGCTCGAAACAGAAAGTGAAACTCCGCGATCGATGTCTTTCATTGTTGGTCCGTTTGAAACGTCTCGCGATCTTCGCAAGTATATTTTCTCCGCCACTGTCTAAGACATTCGAACGTGACGAAATGCATTTGACAGATGCACGCTTGGCTCGTGCACTTTTTTCAAAATCCTTAGTCATTTATTAACCCTTATCTGTCCGTGATGACAATTTGACAGCGTTTTTAAGTTTCAGAGGATATTATTCTGTTAGTTTTGGAAACATCGATCTCGGACTTGGTGGCCTTTATTTTTTTTAGCACGTAGTATTTGAAGTATACGAAGTATGCGAGAAGTGTCTCGTGTGTCAATTATCGCTTCTTTTATGGTCGATACAATATTTAGAAGCTGTATTCGAATCTATTAGGTCATTAACCATTTGAGTTCCAAGCAGCGCGATCGCGTTGTTCAGATTTTGTGTCGCGCTCAACTTTACTGACGCGCGTACATTTCTTTTGTTCTGTTTGTCAACGTTGACGAGCGCGTCGCTTGGTTCTCTTCGCAATCGATTGAGACAAGCGCTGTCGCGCTGTTCGGCATTTTTCGACTGCGTATTCCCAATAAATCCAAAGATCTCACAGTAAAATTATAGAGTATAGTAGGCATTTCATACTTAACCCTTTCGATACTACGAGCCACTATAGTGGCCCTCCATAAGATGCCATCGAGATACTAAGAGCCACTATAGTGGCCTTCCATAAGATGCCATCGAGATACTAAGAGCCACTATAGTGGC